ATCCTCACAGGTTATTTCACTCACACCAGACTTCTTTCTGACAGTGCCTCGGATGACTTAGAAGAGCTTCCGGCAGTTACCAGATGTAGCTACATTGCGACTGCACCTCCTCACCATGCCCCACTGCCTTGTGGATCAGATCCTTAGGTCAAAGGCTCCGGATGTGGTCCCCTAAGAAAACCACCTACTTCGGTTTGGGCACCCGGACAGTATCACAACCCTCGAACAAATAAATGAAATGACGCTTTCTATTGACAATGCTATTTGCTTTAAAGAAAAAGCAAACATAGTACACCACTTCCTCTTCATGTTGCCGACTAAGTTTGTTTATTTTTACTGGTTAATAAAGTTAATAATTACTGACTGGCATGAATTTTTATTTTTTAAAAGTTTTTCCATCATCCATATATAGACATGGAATAAATTGACTGTCTGTCTTCCTATACTATATCCTTATATACAACCTTTCTTTTCTATATCACCATCACTCAATTAACTACTATGAATCCGGTGTTCATCTTGTCGTGCTAATGAGGTATAGCAACTTGTACCGATGTATATATGTGCCTGGTCCTACGTTATAGCTGACTGACTAACTGACTGAAATTGACTGTGATTTACTAATTAGTTATTTTTTTCACTGATGTAAATTACTAAGATGAAAGTTTCTATGTGATGTTGTTGAATTGGGTCATTTAATTCACCATTTATATTCTATATGTTTGTTGTTTTTTGTTTTACAAGTGAATAACCTTGAAAAGTTAATCTTAATCTGTAAAATCAATCATTAAAATTTTGTTAAGTTAATCGGCTTATATGTATACATAACATGGATAACAGTTCAAATCACTTGTCATTCAATCATAAACAATGTAGAACCTGATACATGCCCTCAAATGCCCTGGTATGGCCGAGAGTGGGGAGAGTTCACTCTCCCTCTCAAAATGCTCTCACATGGCCACGCGTATATAGCCTATCAGATAAGTCCTACTCAGTGCCTTCTCGAGGTGGGGGTGTTGTTCACAAAAGTGAGAGGACGAAAAGCGAATGTCCGACGCTTTAACCGGGTTGGTGGATACGGAAAGTCCACTCAAGGGAGTCGGGAAACCCTGATTCCAAACCAATGGTTCACATGGACTCCAGTATCCTGAGGAAACAAATGGCGTATGAATCAATTGTTGGTCACTGGCTACCATGGGACTGTATCTCCTCACGATGCTCCTGCACTGCCTTGTGGACTAGACCTTTAGGTCAAAGGCTCTGGGTGTGGCCATTCAAGAAAACCACCTACTTCGGTTTGGGCACCTGGGCAGTATCACAGCCCTCACACAAATCAAATGAGATTTGTGAGGCGCATATATATCTGGTGCCCCTTTGTACGAATATTTATGTGTTTAAATAAATGATAAATAAATAAACCTGATACATATAAGCATCGGTTCAATATGTCACAACTTATCAATACAACGAGATAAAATGAATAAAATAAATGCTGATGGAATAAGCAAGGAACTCTCTTCTATATAAAGCGCTAATAATATTGTCCAAAACGACAATGATAGCTGGGCAATTAAACCGTCTAGCTTAGAGAACTGAACAATGCTAAAAGCATTGATCTGAGCTTCAAATCTTATTCAATTCAGTATTAGTGGTAGTGGTAATTACTACTCATACTTACTTACTTACTTACTTACGCATGTTACCCCTCGTCGAGGAGCATAGGCCGCACACCAGCATTCTCCATCCAACTCTGTCCTGAGCCTTCCTTCCCAGTTCTTTCCAGTTGCAATTCATCCTTTTCATATATGTTTCTATTTCCCGACGTAATGTGTTCTTTGGCCTTCATCTTTTCCGCTTCCCTTCAGGATTCCAAGTTAGGGATTGAGTCGTGATGCACATTGGTGATTTCCTTAATGTATGTCCGATCCACTTCCAACGTCTTTTCCTAATTTCCTCTTCAGCTGGAAGCTGGTTTGTCCTCTCTCATAAAACGCTGTTGCTGATAGTATACGGCCAGCGAATGTAGAGTATTTTACGTGAGCAACTGTTTATAAATACTTCTAACATCTTGACGATGGATGTAGTGGTTCTCCACGTTTCAACTCCGTACAGTAGAACAGACTCTCTTGACGTTCGTATTGAAGATTCTCACTTTGATATTGATTGACAGTTGTTTTGAGTTCCATATGTTCTTTAATTGTAGGAATGATATCCTTGCTTTTCCAATCCTCTCCTTTATATTTGCATCAGATCCTCCTTGTTTATCAATCATGCTTCCTAGGTACTTGAATGTTTCCACCTCTTCCATGGTTTCGCCATCAAGTGTGATTGGGTTGGTATTCTCCGTGTTGCATTTGAGAATCTTGCTTTTTTCTTTGTGAATGTGGAGGCCTATCGATGCGGAGGCTGCTGCTACATTTACTGTCTTCATCTGCATTTGTTCGTGTGTATGAGAGAGGAGGGCTAGGTCATCTGCGAAGTCCAAATCATCTAATTGATTCTGAGATGTCCATTGTATTCCGTGTTTCCCCTTAGATGTCGAATTCTTCTTAATTCAGTCAATCACTAGAAGGAAGAAGAATGGGGAGAGTAATTACTACGCATAGACGAAATAATTTGAGAAAAACGGGTGAAGTTGCGGAAGAAGAACAGTATACTATAAATTTAAGACTAAAAATATAAGGAAAGACAAATATTGACTGTGTATGCTTACTAGAACTAATTCTGAGCAATGTCAACTATTTTGTTCGAATATTCGTTATAACATATGCACAGATCGCTGTCCGATACTCTCCACTTACGACCACGTTTCAGTCCACCACTCGATAATTTTATGGTTCGACCCTACGTCTTGTCTTGGTTACCTCTACGTTTTTTTCAACTTACTCATACTCCAGCAAACAAGTCACTTGTGCCAGTGGAATGTTAGACCCCTGAATGCCCTGTTACGGCCGAAAGTGGGAAGAGTCAGCTCTCCCTCTCCAAATGCTCTCACACGTGCATACAACCACTGCCAGGAAAGTCCTGATCACTGTAGTTTATGAAATTGAGAGGACGAAAAGCGAATATCCGGCGCTTTAACCAGGTTGGTGGACACGGAGAATCCACCTAGGGAATTGGAAAACCCTGATACCAAACCAATGATGCACATGGGCTCTAGGATCCTGAAGGAACAGATGACTTATAAACCAATCGTTATCACCGGTCATATATTGAACGACGAAAAGTTCACTTTGTATAGTTTACTCATGTGAAAATATTGTTATCATCAATGTATAACTATCTACATTAGTTTAGGATCAAACTTTAATAAGTGATCACATAGGGATTTATTTATTAAAGTGAATTAGTCAGTGACACTCCTTAGATTCCGACTAACATTGTAGGATGAGTCAGGATTCTAATAAACAATCTTATGAACAAATGTAAACCAAACACTTACTGAATTTTCGTGACGAGGTCATGTCCTTTGAAGCTGTGATTTTATTTTATTGTCTATTATTTCCTTACAACAGCAATTCACTTGACTTTTCTCAAGTCAGAAGAAGAGTTGAGAGAGAACAATCTACATTATAATACTTAGAACAATAAAGATACAATTTTAAAATATTAAAATATATTTAGAATCGACATAAAAATCTTCTACAATCTGGATTTGTCCACTAGCATCTATTGGTTGAAAATGAACCAATTAGTTTACTCCAATTTAAATTTGATAAGATTATTCAATAGTCAATACTCCGTCCTGTTAACATGCCATTTTCTGGTTAGTGTTTTTTTAGCGAGTTGGTTTTCTACGGGATGGGGGGGGGTCGCTAACCCCATGCCTAACCCTCCTCGTTTATTCGGGCTTGGGACCGGCAGTAGCCCCCGGAAGAGATACAAGCAGAGTTGTTAACATGCCATAGGTATATCTAATTACATTTATTTGGAAATATTATTTAAGTAGTTTAACCATTCAATTACTAACCACTGGGTGATAGTTGATTTGTGCAACTTGGTAGTATTGTACTTACTTTCATGCGAAAAATATGTGGCACAAAATGGAATATATGAATAAGAACCTAGTTACTGAGTTAATTTTCAAAAGTATGATTAATTAAGTTATTTATACAAATAAAACGTCCACATTGTTCTCTATTTGTTTTATTGTTATCATTATCATCCGGATTTTAAGCATCAGAAAACTCCTTTCATCGTGTGCAAAGTTTTCAGCATTATTTTATCTGTACTCTTTCGTATTTTATTTACTTATTTATTTGAACACATAAATAGTGGTAGGAAGGGGCATCAGATATATATATATATATATATATATATATTCCCCACACAAATCTCATTCGATTTGTGTGAGGGCTGTAATACTGCCCAGGTGCCCAAACTGAAACAGGTGGTTTCCTTAGGGGGCCACACCCGTAGCCTTTGACCTAATGATCTGATCCACAGGGCAGCGGAGCATCGTGAGGAGATGCAATCTCATGGTAGCCGGTGATCAACGATTGATTCATACGCCATTTGTTCCCTCAGGATACTGGAGCCAGTCCATGTGCACTATTGGTTTGGAATGAGGGTTTTCCAACTCCCCTATGTGGAGTTTCGTGTCCATCAACCCGGTTAAAGCGCCGGACATTCGCTTTTCGTCCCGTCAATTTCGTAAATAACACCCCCACCATGAGAAGGCAGTGAGTAGAACTTTCCTGGTAAAGGCTATATACGCGTGGCCATGTGAGAGCATTTCGAGAGTGAGAGCGAACTCTCCTCACTCTCGTCCGTACCAGGGCATTTGGGGGTTCATATAAATTTTAGTAACATACTGAATAAATGAATCAAAATAATGTAAATACATTTTGTTGTTGTCTAAAACTTTACTTATTATATGAATTATTTATCCTCATCTTTTGTTTATTTATTGTTTATTCTTTTCTCTATTCTTATTTACATGTTACGTATATCTATGTACGTGGACATATATTTGTGTATGTGTATGTGTGTGTTCATAGAACAATTAACAGAATATCAACGTTCATTAATTTACATCACACCTGAAAGTACTTTATTAGATGCTGTACGTATGTTACTCAAGCATAAAGTACATCGTCTCCCTGTAATTGATCCAATCAGTGGGAATCCATTGCATATATTAACACATAAACGTGTACTGAAATATTTGCATATTCATGTAAGTTATTGTCAGTAGTAAATGTTACCTTCTTTTTGCATTATTTGTTGTTGTCATCATTGTCATTTCGTATGCCAATATTAAGATATACTTGTTGATATGACTTCTATTCGGGATACAGTGGACAGGCAGGATGCAGCTTGACGATTTAGACTTCACGGATGATCTGGCTCGTCTATCACAAACGCAACAACAAATGTAGGAGAAAACGACCAGTGTAGCAGCAGCCTCAGCAGCAGTAGGTCTCAATATAAACAAAAGGGAAAAGCAAGACTCTCCGATACATTACAATATGCACCAATCCAATTACACTTGACGGAGAAGCTTTGGAGGATGTGGAAACCTTTACATATCTGGGCAGCATCATTGATGAACACGGTGGATCAGATGCAGATGTGAGGGCGCGGATCGGCAAAGCAAGAGCAGCATACCTACAGCTGAAAAACATCTGGAGCTCAAAACAATTGTCAACCAACACCAAGGTTAGAATTTTCAATACAAATGTCAAGACAGTTCTATTGTATGGGGCAGAGACGTGGAGAACTACGAAAGCCATTATCCAGAAGATACAAGTGTTTATTAACAGTTGTCTACGCAAGATACTTCGGATCCGATGGCCAGACACTATCAGCAACAAGCTACTGTGGGAGACAACAAACCAGATTCCATCCAGTGGAGGAAGAAATCAGGAAGAAGCGCTGGAAGTGGATTGGGCACACTTTGAGGAAATCACCCAATTGTGTTACAAGACAAGCCCTCACATGGAATCCTGAAGGTCGAAGGAGAAGAGGAAGACCAAAGAACACATTACGCCGAGAAATAGAGACAGACATGAGAAGAATGAACAAGAACTGGAAAGAACTAGAAAAGAAGGCCCAGGACAGAGTGGGTTGGAGAAAGCTGGTCGGCGGCCTATGCTCCATTGGGAGTAACAGGCGTAAGGAAGTAAGTAATGACTTCTATTAATATAAGAGATTTATACTGATCAGTTCGAAGTTGTTTACTTTGTTTTGTTATGATGTGATGATTTGGATAGGAAGGCTGTAAATGCTGACTCAGTGAAGTGCTCATATGTGTAATCTCATGTTAAAATTCAATGTAACTATATTCGTTTGGGTTGGTTGTTGAGGTTTCTAACTTTCAGCCAGACAGTCACAGGTTTGAATCCTGATTGACCTATTTCAGTTTGTTCAGGTAGGTAGTATTACACATAAAATGTGGCTCAAATCCCACAGTAAACTAATCTATACTCGGTAAATGAGAAGATAATTTACATGACTTGGATTTACTTCAGTAACAATATTGAAAGTCATATAGTATTAGAAATCGGTTCCTTCCTAGTATAGCACTCTTACGCTACCATTTCAGGGATCGAAGCTAAGATCTTCGATTCTTGCTCTAAGCGCTTAACCTTCAGATTAATATTGAGTTGGAATCTAATAGTCACTTCACTCATTTTCGATATCGGTGTTACTTGAAGTCCTTCGATTCTGACTTTTCACCAAAATCCCATGAACTTTCCCAGAGGTCGGTCGCTAGTAATGAAATATTTATTATCATTATTGTTATTATTATTAAGGGAGATCTTTGTAATCGTAACCCCAAGAACACTTGCACTATGTACTGACTTTAAATTGATAACATCTACCTATTTCATTGATTCATTGTATGGTACCATTAAATATGTATATCAAGAAATAAAGTGAGTGTTTTGTCATGAAGTATGATGATAAGATTAATGTACTTTAAGGTACACCCGTTGAACTAAGAACATCACCTTTATATATATACTCTTCGGTTCAAAGTGTATCTTACGTACTGTTTAAACAGAAAACTACTTCTCAATAATCAATTGTTAATACATGTCTGCGTTACTTCACATCGTTTTCATAAAAACAAATGATATGACTCGGTTGATGAAAGTAAAGGTAGGGGTTCAAAGTTAAGACATTCGTATTTCAGTTACTAACAGATGATTGTGGTACCATATTGTGAGTTAAGGAAAGTGGAAATTGTGAGCTATTGGTTGGAAACTCTTCGAACTGCCCCCAAATGCCCTGGTACGGCCGAGAGTGAGGAGAGTCTGCTCTCCCTCTCGAAATGCTCTCACATGGCCACACGTATATAGCTTCTGTCAGGGAAGTTCTACTCACTGTCTTCTCACAGTGGCATTATTGTTGTTTACGAAATTGACAGGACGAAAAGCCAATGTCCGACGCTTTAACCGGGTTGGTGGATACGGAAAGTCCACTCAAGGGAGTCGGGAAACCCTGATTCCAAACCAATGGTTCACATGGACTCCAGTATCCTGAGGGAACAAATGGCGTATGAATCAATTGTTGGTCACTGGCTACCATGGGACTGTATCTCCTCACGATGCTCCTGCACTGCCTTGTGGATTAGGTATTAAGGTCAAAGGCTCTGGGTGTGACCCCCTAAGAAAACCGCCTGCTTCAGTTTGGGCACCCGGGCAATAGCACAGACCTCACACAAATCAAATGAGATTTGTGAGGCGCATACTTATCTGGTGCTTTCTTGTATCAATATTTATGTGTTGAAATAAATAAATAAATAAAATATAGCGAACTGAAAGTAATACCTTTACTTCAAAGGCTAATGGTCCTGGGTTTGATCCTTTACGGAGTCTGCTATGGCCACCACTTTTGTTTTGTTTCATGATTCTCAGTGATTGCTCAATCAAAGGATTTTTCATTTTCAATTTTCTTACACACAATTAGTATTTAAAGCTTTTGGATTGATTTTTGTAATTATGCCGAAAGACAGCGCTTCTCTTACCATATCCTATTCGTTAGTCATTTTCCTTTCAAACACATCATAACTTGGAAGCACTGGACGGCCGTGTCATTCTATTATGGGACTCCTCAGCAGTGCGCATCCACGACCCCACACCCGCGAGATTCGAACCCAGGACCTACCAGTCTCGCGCCAGAGCTCTTGAACGATAGACCACTGAACCGGCATCCAACGGTGTTAATGTCTAACTTCAACTGATCCATGAAGTTGAGCAAGTTGAGCTTCAATTGACTCACGCTTTCAACTATGAAAATACTAAATCTCCGCTAAACCCCTTCTGATAATTAACATCTTAACTTGTTTATGTGAAAATTGTTTACTCATATGATCATGGTAATTCATATCTATTTCTAGTAGTATATATTAAATAACATTGCTTCGATCATACAACTTGTATAATTATCTATGATGTACATGTAAAAGCTGTCTATAGATTGGGAGGATTTTCTAAAAACGCTTATATTCATATCATACTTATTATTTATTAAGTAGCATACAATGGGACATTGAATTTTTGAATAGCATTTATTATTTATTTATTTAAACACATAAATATTGATACAAGAAAGCACCAGATAAGTATGCGCCTCACAAATCTCATTTGATTTGTGTGAGGTCTGTGCTATTGCCCGGGTGCCCAAACTGAAGCAGGCGGTTTTCTTAGGGGGTCACACCCAGAGCCTTTGACCTTAATACCTAATCCACAAGGCAGTGCAGGAGCATCGTGAGGAGATACAGTCCCATGGCAGCCAGTGACCAACAATTGATTCATGCGCCATTTGTTCCCTCAGGATACTGGAGTCCATGTGAACCATTGGTTTGGAATCAGGGTTTCCCGACTCCCTTGAGTGGACTTTCCGTATCCACCAACCCGGTTAAAGCGTCGGACATTGGCTTTTCGTCCTGTCAATTTCGTAAACAACAATAATGCCACTGTGAGAAGACAGTGAGTAGAACTTCCCTGACAGAAGCTATATACGTGTGGCCATGTGAGAGCATTTCGAGAGGGAGAGCAGACTCTCCTCACTCTCGGCCGTACCAGGGCATTTGGGGGCACAGTTTATATTCAACGACATAATTCATAAGCGAAAGAATACTGTAGCAATGAGAAATTTTATAAAGAAGTATTGGAATCAACTTAACTCAGCATTTGAGGGTAGAAGTTGATAATGAATGGGATTACATTACTGTGAGTGATTTTTGTACCACATTATTCATATCCTCGAATCACTGATCATGGTGATCACCTGAGTGCATCAACCCATGTTGTCAAACTACATCGACTCCCTCGAATGATTATTAAATAAATCTAAATAATTAAAGTAGCAATCATGGTGCGATAAATAAAACATTGAGAACGTATTTCAAAAAGAAGGTATGCATTGAGGATGTAGAAAGTCATCACTGCTTCAAATTTTAAGCCATTTCACTCAACGTCTCCAACCATTGGTCGCAGTTATCGCATGGTCTCGAACCATGTGGTAGTTTGGACCCACCAGTATGAGTCAGTCAATGATTTCATGAACTAATGTCACATTGTTAAGTAGGCTATTATAGTTAGTTGCTAGGTGAAACACTGACGATAATAATCAGCCTTTACAATCTAAGTTATATAGGAAGTGAACAATGTTTGTGGTTGGTTTTATTTTTAGCTCACATTATCAATCTACAATAAACAGAATCTATTCTCAAATTTCTAGTAGAAACTACAGTCACAAACGTAATGTAAACTCAGAGTTGATTTTCATTACAACCAGACATCACCTGAAGAAAAAATTAGTAAAACAAAGAAAACTCACTAGACATTTCATTCTAGGTTGTAAATCTTTTACAAAGTACTTTCACAATTAAACATGGGATTCAACTCAAAATGAGGAGTCCCGCATTAGGACGAAATGGCCGTCCAGTGTTCCTAGGTTTTCCTTGGTGGTCTAGTTTCAATTGAATTATGATTTCAACTATGAAAATACTAAAATCTGCACAAAACCCCTTCTGATCAAAATGTATACGTTTCATAACAAGTACAACTATCATTGAGTCATATGTCAACATGTTCAATCTGTAATCATAATAAACAACTTTGCATTTTAAGTATAATCTCTTTCTGTTTGTTGTTAGGTTCCAATATTTAAAAAAACTTTACATGATATATGATTAATATTTCATTTTAACACCCCCAAATACCCTGGTACGGCCGAGAGTGGGGAAAGTCAGCTCTCCCTCTCGAAATGCTCTCACATGGCCACAAGTATATAAACTCTGTCAGGGAAGTCCTACTCACCACCTTCTCGTGGTCGGGGTGTTGTTTATGAAAGTGAGAGGACGAAAGGCCAATGTACGGTGCTTTAACCGGGTTGGTGGATACGGAAAGTCCACTCAAGGGAGTCGGGAAACCCTGATTCCAAACCAATGGTTCACATGGACTCCAGTATCCTGAGGGAACAAATGGCGTATGAATCAATCGTTGGTGACCGGCTACCATGAGACTGTATCTCCTCACGATGCTCCTGCACTGCCTTGTGGATTAGGTATTAAGGTCAAAGGCTCTGGGTGTGTCCCCCTAAGAAAACCACCTGTTTTAGTTTGGGCATCTGGGCAGTATCACAGTCCTCGCACAAATCAAATGAGATTTGTGTGGTGCATATATATCTGGTTCCCCTTTGTACCAATATTTATGTGTTCAAATAAATAATCATTTTCATTCTCCCACGAAATCCATTTTATTCATCAGTGAAGTGGATTAATTTGTCTATATTCATATACACTATTGTTTGACATGTATTATTGATTAGTGATAGTATTACTTCTATGTACTTAGTACAGGGAAATATTAGTGATCAATATTTCTCCCTATAATGTAACTTGTTTCATTTCAATTCCTTCAAAAGTTGGCAGGATAGGAAAGCAACTCGACATACATGGACGTCTTTTTGTTGTTTGAAACACCTACGTCTATTCAATGTATATTTATTCCTTTAAAGTAGAATATCGTCCCTCTTGTTTTCATCTATAGTATACAGTAAAGTGAATGTATGGTTGTCTATCATCTATCTATTCATACTGACTAGATAAAGCTATTTTAATAATTTACATGCATTACTACGACTGCAATCATTACTTCTAGCCTAATTTAGTTAGTGGTTTTTTTGTGAAGACAACTTCATCATTTAATTAAGTGATTTTTCATAATGATTTTTAGAATTTACCTTTCAGTTATATTTGTAACCATGTCGAACACAAACTATTCATCTAAGTATACTGTTATCTAGGATCTTGAATAATTTATCATAAAGGGTAGTATGTGCCCCCAAATGCCCTGGTACGGCCGAGAGTGGGGAGAGTCCTCTCTCCCTCTCGAAATGCTCTCACATGGCTACACGTATATAGCTTCTGTCAGGGAAGTCCTACTCACTGATTTCTCGTGGTTTAGGTGTTATTTACGAAACTGAGAGGACGAAAAGCGAGTGTCTGGTGCTTTAACCGTGTTGGTGGATACGGAAAGTTCACCTAGGTGTACGACTTCGCCTTCGGACCTTGGGTTTGCTACTTTTAGTCTTACCGCTCTTCAGCCGACCTGTCTGGCATGGTAGGACCTTGAGGAACGATTGTTCCAGCCAGTATAGCTCGGTTGGTTCATCACTATAGGCAAGCTCAACCACCACGTCAAGGTAGCATCAACAGTCAGGCCATGCGACTGCATCTCCTTACGATGCTCCACTGCCTTGTGGATCAGATCTTTAAGTCAAAGGCTCCGGGTGTGGCCCCCTAAAAAAGCACCTGCTTGAGTTTGGGCACCTGGGCAGTTTCACATCCCTCACCCAAATCGAATGAGATTTGTGTGGCACATATATATACATATATTTATGTGTTTAAATAAATAAATAAATAAAATGGTATTATGTCTCAAACATTCCATTTTGGAATAAACTTGATAGATTCAGAGACATGTCTGCAATTGATATTGTTTGGAGTCATCAAAAATATCTGCCGAAATCGTAGCGTAGCAAGGTCGGAAACCATTCCGTCTAATCAACATCTAATAAAAACACCCCGGAAGCGTGTATGATTATGTGTCACACTATGATTGAGTAACTACCAGTTTTGTTACCAAATTCAGCACGTTTCCAAAATTTAAAGGTTACCCGTGAACATATGGATACCCTTATTCTCTGTACATAAATTAACCTTTTTAATAAAGCTTAGTTCTTTTCTGTTCGGGTTTCAAGTGTAGAATAATTCTGAGGATCAAGGAAGCGGCTAGAAGGTTATTATTAAGAATCTGAGTACCAGAATATGAGATATAAATTTTTGATATTCCTGAATATAAGTAAATGTATTGGTAATGAAAAATCAGCAAACTTAATTATGAATTAGGTATTGACTAAAATGGTAATAGTATGTTTCCATAAGTACTATGATGCTATCTACACTAATACACTACATATGTTCTAGCTGTTGTAAACCGCCGGAAGCTAATTATCAATAAAAATATCAAGTTTCTTAACTTAACTTGAAGCTTTCATTAACCCAGATGAATTGAAGGGTGACGAAATCTTGTTACAGACATAAAAATCTCACCTTATTTTTTGTCTGGAATTTTACTAGATAAGGGGGATAGTATTCATGTTATGCATGCCCGGCTATTCCCCACCCTGGATAGCTTAACGTTAACTTCTGGCTGTAATACTAAATTGAGTCTCATAGAAAGTCTATTCTAAAGTTTTAGGTGCACCTTCCGGGCATACGTTCATTAGCGCGAAAAGTAGGCTTAATCACTAAGATTTCCTATTAGTAGCCTCTAATCACAAAAATCTCAAACTATTTATTTTACGTACCATTTATTTGTTATACTTTTATTGATCCATCCCTATAGCTATCTGAACTTCCCTATCCTTCATTTATGTCAAAGAAACTATGTGATGTCAATGTTGGCTCAATGACAAATGTATGTGTGGTTAATCAAAATTGTCCTGTTCATAAAGCTTTACAATATTTCATTGAATATGGTGTTTCAGCGTTGCCTGTTGTTGATCAAGATGGTCAATTAGTTGATATTTATGCAAAATTTGATGTAATTGTAAGTTGTTTTTTTAATTAAATGTTGTTTAACTGTTAATGCTGATTGAATTCTTTCAATCATATGTGTAATGCTGTCATAAGTTCACTGTCAGTCAGGTACAACGTAGAACTTCGTACGTACGTACATCAGTTCGAGTTGCCATACCACATTAACACAGAGATGCAGTTGTCGATTCAAATTTCATAGTGGTAGAAGTAGTAAGAGTATAAGCATTATGTTAAAGATTAGGGTTTGAAGATGTTATTGAAGGAGATAATCCAATGAAATAAATTTGGAAAGAGAAAAAAAGATAGAGACATGAAGAATTCAGAAGATTATAATTTGGTAGAACACAAAGAGTGGATGCATCTTCGCCATTGCAAACGATTTTGAGCCATGTCATTCAAGGTCTCTAACCATCGATTTCTATTATCTCGCGAGTTTCAACCAGGTAGTCTACACCTATAAGCATGGCTCAGTTCAATTGTCAGTGACTTCATGGATTTGTGCCACGTTTTGGTCTGGCCGCTCTTAACTTTCTTCCAACCTACTCCTACACCATGGAACATTGCACGCCTAGGTAGTCGGTGGTTGGGCATGCGTAGCACGTGTCCTAGCCATCTCAACTGATGAAGTTTCACTACTTCATCAATCGATTTGCTATCATTACCTAGTATCCGTTTCCTAACAACTGCATTACTTACCCGGTGGTCCCAGGATATACGAGCAATGCGTCGAAGACATCCATGATCGAACACTAGTAGCCTACGAATATCATCTACTCTAATTGGCCATGTCTCACCGCCACAAAGTTGGACGGAACGAACTGCTGCACAGTAAACCCGTCCTTTTGTTGCTAGAGGGATATCTCGCCTAGTTCACTGTAAGAAACCGTTGAGAATTCCTTTGAAAACCCTCTTTAAAACCCAGAAAAACGCCAAAAAGAACTTCGACCGGTATACTCTTTCTTTAAACTTCAAAAGTACATATGAGAATTTATTGATTCTGTTCCTTTTATCGTTGATATCTCTGTTGTTTTTTAACGACTTTGGCTTATTTTTGAAAGGTTATAGAATTTTAACGTCACTTGTATTCTTATGAACATCCAGGGTTCCTGTACATAAACTAACTTTCAAAGTTAAGTTCCTCCATATAATTCACATGTTTTGTTTTACCCTTTGGATTTCAGGAGTAGAAACGATTTCTGTAAACTAGGATGCCACTACGAAATCGCTTTGTATCTAAGCATTCAAGTAGAAAATGTATCACGAAGGGATTTAACATCGCGTTCTAACTTCATATTTGATGTCAAATGATGTTTGGCAATCAACAACTGTGAACCTCTGTTCCGTACTGATTACTATTCGTTAACGTGGGCTATATCACCGCAGTGTCGAGTTACGTAGTTAAGTGGTTACATCGCATGCGTTATTGATAGGATTCAACCAATCACATCGCATATTTAATGTATGGTTGATTCTCACTCAATTAGTGATTGATTTTAATATCTCAATCCTAATGGTAATCGATCGTTACCTGAGTAGCTCAGTTATAATGTCTCTATTTGTTTAGTTGGGCGATGATGCACACGTTCATTGCCGTCCAGTGCAAACCAGCCTGGACATCTAACTTTGAATGAACTAATATGGTTAGTCACTTATCTTGGTAGTTTGTATCATCAACTGATAACCGTTGAAACTCAAGATACACTGAACAAGTTGGTGGAGAAGATTTGTAGCTCAGGTGGATGATTTTGATGGAGTTTTGTTCTCTGAGGTAGATGGTTTGGTCGTGGAACTTTCATCGTCCTTCTGAACGACATCATCAACACAAGCTTTTACCCGCAGTTTGTTACTCTGAGTTACCCCATCAATGCTTGTTTTAAATTTTAAAAATATCGGCAAATAGTACCAAATAGTTTTTCAATTGACTCAGCCTTTCATTCTGGAGATTCTGTTAGCAGCGTTTACTTGACTTATTATGTTATGTTTGAAGCGCTTATGTGTTCCATAATCTGAAAACGGGACAAAGACTCTGTGACCAAAGGCCAATAAGCTAGCTATTCTGATGCGTCCCAGCCCCACTAACTAGAGTGAGAAGTCCAAGTTCGAAGTGGGGGGAATATATTCCTCAAGCAGCTAAAAACGTATATATGCAGCATAAAATTGTTCTTGGGAGGCGTTACAAAATAGCATACTAAAAGATACAACGAACCAATAGCGTTTAAGATCCTAACAAGTGGGAAATATGACATAAAGGTGAAAACGAGCGCTCTTGGCGCGAAAACAAGAAATCCAATAATTGAAACGAAATTGCAAAAATAAGTCATTTATCAAGTGAGTTCTGGGGATCTAGCATCTCCATCCCATTCTCTTCAATATCAATTTTGTTTTCCGGATCGATTTAACCCCTGATCATCATGTAATAAATTCTGACTGGCTATTATCATTAACCAAGTTGTTATGTTTTAAAATAGAGTACAATTGTTTGAAAATGTAAGTGAACTGATGATGACTTCTATACTGATGAAATCTCAAACCTCTTTTTTAAGAATTATGCTGACGTTCTGTATTATCCATTCACGATCCTCTTTAATAGATCTTTCTCAACTAATATCATACTGAAAATGTAGAGAAATATCCCAGTTACTAAGAAAGTATCTGGCTATAAGAATGTGATATTTAGTCTCATAGCAATAACTTCACCTTTTCTCAAAACAATGGAAAAATTACTGGTACTCCTACTTCAACCTGCACTAAAAGATCACATCCCGACCGTTGCTGCTACCTTGACGTGGTGGTCGGGCTTGCCTATCGTGATGATCCAATCGAGCTATGCTGGCTGGAACAATCGTTCCTCGAGGTCCTACCATGCCAGACAGGTCGGTTGAAGAGCGGTGAGACTAAAAGCAGCAAACCAAAGGTCCGAAGGCGAAGTCGTACTGCTGACTGTACAGAGGTGTGAAAGCAGTAAGGTGTTTCCTTCAGACAACCAGCATGACAGGGATGCTGCCTTCCCACAAGGAGGGGTGGGGTTAGAAAAGGTCGACCCTAAAAATGCACACCTCGCCTTATCCCACGGATATCCGTCTCCGGCGGTAAGGTTTTTTTTTTGAAGAACGGAGCTAACACAAAAACTACCCACAAAAAGGTCGTGTGTGACCGACCTCAAGCAGTTGTCCCTTGGGCACTGCGGTCACGCTCTCAGGTCATTAAGACCACTTCTAACCCAATTTCCTTTTCAGGTACCTCTAGAAGAATCCTTCCACGGTGTGGGCAACAGGGAAGTGATAACTGCCCTCATACCTCTAACAACACTCAAGACCACTGTATTCATAATCAATCTCCTTCTTCAATTCCTACTACCTTGACTTTCAACACAAAACTTCCTCTCTCGGTTTCCTCCTCAAGTGTCACCATGGCCAACGATTCTAGTGCGCGAAACGCTATCCCAGGTCTACTAAAACCTCGCTCCAAACTACACATTGGAGCCTTCAACGTACGTACTTTAAGTCAAATCGGTCAACAGGCCTCCTTAGCTAAAACCTTAGAGTCGCGTACCATTGATGTATGCTGTGTCTCCGAAACACGCATACAGGATCCTAGTGTGGTCATTCACTTGACCTCACCTCGCCAAAATGGACAGCCAACGAAATACACCCTCCGTGTATCTGGCGACCCGATGGCTAGTTCTCGTGGACTTGCAGGTGTAGGTATAGCACTAAGTACAAGGGCAGAACAGGCACTATTAGAATGGATCCCCGTTAACAGTCGCCTGTGTGCTGTCCGGCTAAATGGCTCCGTAAGAACTCGGAAGGATAGGGACACACGTCGTTGCCTTTTCGTCGTTTCTGCCTACGCTCCCACTGACTGCAGCCATGATGAGGTGAAAGATGACTTTTACAGAAAGCTCTCTGAGCTTCTTCAGAAAGCTAAGCGCTCAGACATAGTAGTCGTAGCGGGTGACTTTAATGCCCAGGTAGGCAGCTTAAATCAAACAGAAAGACATCTAGGTGGGTGTTTTAGTATTCCGGCTCAACGAACCGATAATGGTGATCGTCTGATGCAACTATGCTCAGACAATCGTTTATTTTTGTTATGCACTAATTTTAAACATAAGGAGAGACATCGTCTAACATGGCGACCACCTGCACCAAACCAACGATGGACTCAAATAGACCATATTGTCATCAGTCATCGTTGGAGAGGCTCAATAGAAGATTGTCGCTCGTATTGGAATACTTGTTTAGACTCTGATCACGCTTTATTACGAGCACGCATTTGTCTGCGCCTCAATGGACGCAGGAAAAGTACACTAAGAAGACCCGTTAGGATTGAACTGGAGGACGAGAAAGCCAAATGCGAATTCCAGAGACAACTGAGTTCACATCTAGGCAGTTCTGTAAACGAGACTGACCCAGATGCTGCTTGGAAAGACACACGAACAGCTGTGGAAACGGCAGTAACATCTATTAGTTATTTAAACCATAAGGCTCCAAAAAACCAGTGGATTTCTTCTAAGTCTATTTCACTGATGGATTCGCGTAAACTCATACCATCAGGCTCTGAACATGACGAAGAGCGTAAACAAATTAGATCTAGGTTAACTAAAAGTCTAAGGAACGATCGTGAGCAGTGGTGGGCAACGAAAGCAAAAGAGATGGAAAAGGCAGCGGCTGTAGGCAACACCAGGCAACTATTCAGACTAATAAAAGAAACTGGAATTAAGAAGTCAAGTGTAAGTGAGACGATCTCGGAAAAAGATGGAACCCTTATCTGCTCTCTACCCAAACGTTTAGAACGATGGGCGGAACACTTTAAGGAGCAGTTTAGCTGGCCTTCAGCTACTGCACAACTACCCACTATTCCTAGAAAACCTGAATGGAACATTGAAGTAGGCCCCCCGACCCTACTTGAAGTTCAAAAGGCTATAGGTAATCTGAAACGAGGAAGAGCAGCTGGTCCAGATGGATTGGCTCCAGAGGTCTTTAAATATGGTGGTCCAATTTTAGCGATTAGGTTGACTAATATTCTGGCTAAAATCTGGGAGACGGATGTAATCCCATCCGACTGGTCACAATCACTGATTGTCCCAATATATAAAAAGGGGTCAAAATCATCCTGCGATAACCATAGAGGGATTAGTCTGACTAACATAGTATCTAAAATACTAGCCTCAATAATTATCAGGCGCCTAACTAAGACTCGTGAACTGCAAACACGAGAAAATCAGGCTGGCTTCAGACCTGGTCGTGGCTGTATCGACCACATATTCACTATTCGTAAAGTTTTAGAGCACAGACATGCTTATCGGCGTCCGACAATGATAGTTTTTCTTGACTTGAAAGCAGCATTTGACTCTGTAGACCGAGAGGTTCTGTGGCAGTGTCTGTCATTGAAAGGTGTACCTGAGAAGTACATAAACCTTGTGAAGGCTCTTTACTCGAACACTACCAGTCGAGTGAGATCTTATGGCGAACTGTCATATGATTTTACAACCTCAAGTGGTGTCCGACAAGGCTGTCCACTATCCCCATTTTTGTTTAACTTCATTATAGACCTGTTGCTGGAAATAACACTCTCTTCGACTGAATTTACAGGAATTGATCTCCTACCAGGGGGACCACTAAGCGACTTAGAATACGCAGATGACATAGTCCTTTTTGGTGAAGACACTGACAAAATGCAGAGTCTTCTGTTGGAACTGAGTAATAATGCCAGGATGTTTGGGATGCGTTTCTCCCCATCCAAATGTAAATTGTTACTCCAGGACTGGCCTACGTCAACACCTGAACTAAGGATAGGAAGTGAAGTAGTCGAACGCGTCGACAACTTCACTTATCTTGGAAGTCTGATCAGCCCTAATGGGTTGGTGTCTGACGAAATCTCAGCACGGATTCAAAAAGCTCGTTTGGCTTTTGCCAACTTACGTCACCTATGGCGAAGACGAGATATCCGTCTATCAATTAAGGGACGAGTATACTGCACAGCAGTTCGTTCTGTTCTACTTTACGGCTGTGAAACATGGCCATTAAGAGTAGAAGATACTCGTAGGTTACTAGTATTTGACCACAGATGCCTTAGAAATATTGCTCGCATCTGCTGGGATCACCGAGTAAGTAATAGTGAGGTTAGACGCAGGGTATTAGGTAACGATGGTAAATCAGTTGATGAGGTGATAAATCTTCATCGACTGAGATGGTTGGGCCATGTGTTACGTATGCCTGAACACCGATTACCACGACGCGCTATGATGACTAGTATTGGGGACGGTTGGAAGAGAGTTAGGGGCGGCCAAACCAAAACATGGCATCAGTGCTTGAAGTCACTAACTTCTAGCCTGAGCCATGTTGGCAGATGCAGACTACCTGGTTGGGGTCCGCGTGACTATCGTAATAAATGGTTGGAGACTCTAGGTGACATGGCTCAGAATCGATCACAATGGCGTAGGTGTATACACTCTTTATCTTCCCTTAAACCTTGATATTAAAATTGCTTCATATCTCTCTTCCTTCCTACTATATCCTTATATACAACCTTTCCTTATATACTACCACCACTAAATTAATTACTTCTATGAATCCGGTGTTCATCTTGTTGTGCTAAAGAGGTATGGCAACTTGGACCGATGCATATATGTGCCTGGTCCTACGTTGTAGCTGACTGACTGAAAAGATCACATTGATCCTTATCAGTTCACTTAAAAATACAAAAGAAGCGCCTTAGATGCTGCTATTTTTCTGCATCATAATATAGTGTTCAGCTTGGAAAAGAGTGAGAAGTATGCCCAATGTGCTTTTCTGGACTATACTTCTGCCTTTGACTCTATTCTAAGACAACTTCTACTTAACAGGTTAATCAACATCAACACTGACAGCTAGATAACCAAATGGCTATCTCCACCTCTCATTTATTTTGGTGTAAGTTTTCCCTCTGATCTCTCTTGATTTTCTCATGTTTTATTGTTATCGAAGAAAGTTTCCTATTTGACTACATTAAGAGGCTGCATGCTTTTGGGATTAATCGACATTAATTTTTACGATTTGTAAATTCCTGCATATTACCTATTATTCTTTACTGTTCTCCTTTACTGTATTGTGGAGTATGCTGAAGGCAGTTAGCAAGGTGTATGGTGAATCTTTTGATCTCATTATTAATATAATGGTTGATTGACATCTAAAATCTTACAAACTCCTGACAGGTGTTATCTTATCCGATACCAATCATACACTTCATTTACATCTTTCTCCTTGTATATCTTCTGGTAAAACGAGAATTCAATACATTAAAATTCATGCATGCAAGGAAAGGTATAAAAACTCCACAATACTTTATTTAGCAAATATATATATGTGATGAACAAGTTTTTAGATCTAACTTAGTCAATAACTTGCATTCTTGGACATGTTTGTAATTAAAAATTTGTACAGACTCAGATTTCTTTTTCACCTTTCTCTCTTCTTATTTTTTTGGTTTTTGGTTGACTTTGTTTTTGAGAAACTTGTTGAAATACTTCGTGCTGAGAATTTCATGTTCTACCAAAATATACTATTGAATATCAATATGTTCGTGTACTCAGCTTTAAAGCTAAGAACTTTTTACTTACTTACTTACTTACGACTGTTACCCCTCGTGGAGGAGCATAGGCCGCTCACTGCTTGAGGTTTATTTTTGCTGGAATATATGAAGCAAAGTTTGAAACTTAAAAGTCAACTTTGAGACTTTTTATTACATTGCTAACCTTTATTCCAGTTATCTTTTTTATCATTGTTAAATTCAATATAGTGTTATGTGTGTGTGTTTGGTGTGTACACTTTTAGAATTTGGCAGCTACACGAACTTATCAAAATTTGGATATTAGCGTATATGAAGCTTTGGATTATCGACGTGGAGTGAGTAGATGTTTCATTATTATTATTATTATTATCATTATCGTTTGTGTTTTTTTCTCTCTATGATATATTCTTCATTTTAACTCTAATTATGGAAATACTAGTTGACAGATTTATACTACTTATTAGTAACCATTATGGATAAAGATATTTAGAACATTGAATTGGTTGTAGTTGACGAAATATCCTGGTTATTGTTGTTGAAATCCCTGTTTATTGGTCAAAATTCATTGATATATTGTCTCTGCCTAAGGAAAACAATCATATACCTTTTTCGCGGATTTCACTTTTTCATCTGACTCGTTCATCGATAGGTGCTGTGATGGTGCTTATCTAATTGACAAATACTTAAATCAGAAGGGGTTTTTGTGGATATTTCAGTATTTTCATATTTGAAATCATGAGTCAATTGAAGTAGTGACCAGTGGAGTTCAACCAAGTCTGTTGTAGAGATATCAACTCACTGAAGACAATTGGTGAACGGTTGCTCAAACATCGTGGATTGGTTGAAGTTAGACATTAACACCGTTGGATGCCGGTTCAGTGGTCTATCGGTTAAGTGCTCTGGCGCGAGACTGGTAGGTCGTGGGTTTGAATCTCGCGAGGCGGGATCTTGGATGCTCACTGCTGAGGAGTCCCACAATGGGACGAAACGGCCGTCCAGTGCTTCCAGGTTTTCCATGGTAATCTAGCTTGAGTTGACTCATGATTTCAACTAATTCAACTATAAGATTGTGTTGTGTCTTTTATTACTTTTTTGGTGGTGGTGTTGTCGCTGTTGTTGTTGTTGAAAAGGTGTAACTTTTTTTATTAGTTTCACTTTAATTAAACATTGTTTTATTTTAATTGGATGATGCGTGTAATATCTTTCAAAAACCAAATCACATGTATTCTCTCTTTTTTTATTATCTCTGTTTGTATTTGTCTCTATTGTTCTCATTCTTCATTTATTATTCAGTGAAATTTTCATGGTTTATTCTGACAATGCTCATAAGTCTGTCTATAAATATGTATACATTAATACTGTCAAATGTATGCCTCTCTCCTCTCTCTCTCTCTCTCTCTCTCTCTTAGTGTTCATGTATCCATGTACATAATCTAGAAAGAAGTTTTCAATAACATCACAGTTACATATTCTACATTCTCAATTGTTAAATCATTTTTCTGGTTAGCGTTTTTTTAGCGAGTTAGTTTTCTACGGGGTGGGGTTGCTAACTCCATGCTCAACCCTCCTCCTTTATCCGAGCAGTGGAGCATCGTAAGGAGATGCAGTCCCATGGTAGCCGGTGTCCAACGATTGATTTATACGCCATATATTCCCTCAGGATCCTGGAACAAATGTGCACCGTTGGTTTGAAATCAGGGTTTTCCAACTCCCCTAGGTGAACTTTCCGTATTCACCAACCCTGTTAAAGCGTCGGACATTTGCTCTTCGTCCTCTCAATTTGGTAAACAACAATAATGCTACTGTGAGAAGGCAGTGAGTAGGACTTCCCTGACAGAGGCTATATACGCGTGACCATGTGAGAGCATTTGGAGAAGGAGAGCGGACTCTCCCCACTCTCAGCCGTACCAGGGTATTTGGGGGTTACATACAATGTATGTATTTTCTTTCAATGATTTCATAGTCTACAGAGAGATCCCTAATGTAAATATTTTTTTGCACAATTGTTTGTTTTATATCACATGTTGTGAACCAATTTTTTTTAACCCCTTTCTTTCCAATTCGTTCTTTGATCTGTCATTGTGAAGTACAGTAATGTAAACGTTCTTGATACCACTTTCTGAGAGATAGAAAAAGATGCTTGTATTTATAAATGACAATAATAATAATAAGCCCACATACATATTTTTAAAATTATAAATAGTACAAAACGTTTCACACTACTTAAATGCATGTTGGTATATATTGACGAAATTTAATCGTTAAACTTTTACTTCATAGCACAGTACCTTTGAACACATACCCCCAGTGTGTGTATGTGTGTGCATGTCTACGAATAGTAAAGTTTATGAATGTATAATGACTGCGGTTATCAGGTGGTTTTATCTACAATCGGCTTAATTACTAACTTCATTCACTTTCACTGTTAAGTACTACTGATTTAAAATGAGTACCTGATCGTCAAACACAAGGTAACTTTTAACGCATGTCAATAATATTATCAATAATAATAATAATAATAATAATAATAATAATAATAATAATAATTATTATTATTATTATTATTATTATTATTATTATTATTAGTAGTAGTAGTAGTAGTATTCTGGCTGCACCTTGTGATGCAATAATTCGATCACCGAGCATAATACATGAGTCGACCACCATCAGTGAGTCACATCGACGAAAATATTGCAAACATTCTCTTTTAAAACGATTGTTTAACCATTTAGTCGAAAGATAGCACTTAACTCTACTCTATGTCTTATCAGTTTCAGTGGTTTTCTTCATAGCTTCGAAGGTAACTGACAGTCCATGGATTGCGTCATCCAATGTACGATGAACTTCTTTTTCAGCTTTTATATTTCCCACAAGAGTGACTTCTGACGTTTTTGACTGGAAGCCTCACAATCTTCACAACGCGTCAACTTGCCCGAAAGCGGTAATAGACTGATACTTGATGGTGAAATCGTAACCCAGAAGTGTTGTTGCCTGTCGTTACAGTCCATTAGCCGTGTGAACAGGAATCCCTTTCTCTGACTGATAGTGTTACTAGGGTAAATTGCCGACCAAATATCATATTGTGGGACTTTTTTTCCGCAAAGATAATTGATAGAACGTCTTTCTCGATTTGACTAAAGTTCCGTCCTGTTGTTGTCAATGATCTGGCATCATGAAAGATTGCTTTTTCAGACCCATCAGGAAAAATGTGAGAGGTGACTGCTCCAAAACCATAGTTTGAAGCATCTTAAACAACTGTTATTGATAGGGAAGGCTCATAATGCGTCAGTAAGAGATTGGAAGCTAGGAGTTGTTTGATTTCCTCGAATGATGCTTGATAGTTCGCCGACTAATTTCATTTTGTATTCTTCTCTAGCAGGTGATTTAGTGGAGCACAGAGATGATGGAGATCAGGAATGAAGGTAACATAATGATTGACCAATCCCAAGAAGGATCGTAGGGTATAAATGTATACAAAGTTGACGAATTACATCTTGGGTCTAACTTTTGTGCGCCTCACTTTTGGATGAAATTGGAACATGTAGGGAGCAAATAGGGCACGGAGTCCTTATTAGTAAATTGCCACACCTTCAGAAAAAGGAAAGTAATTAACAGGAAGAATATTTGGAGATAAACGGAATATGGTAGGGCTAAGTGTAGGTTGCACTGTTACTGAGTGTATAAAATTATTATTCTGACCACTAAGTCAGTTTTTGCACGCATGTGTATCGGCTCAAGTTGTCTCACTATATTAGTACAGCGACACAATGTTATCCAGACGAATCCCTGAGCAATCAAAGTAATAACAATATTGGTATCAGCAGAAAAGATTATTCATGAACATTTTGACCCGAGAAAGAAGAATGAATTCACAGCATAAAAGTGTGTAAGAAATTTCTATCATCAACATCTAAGGTGAGATAAAGAGTGTATCTATCGCCACTTCAATCGGTTCCAAGCAATATCTCCCAGCCACCGGTCCTGGCCTGATAGTCTTCCAGCACCTCTCGGTTCGACAGTTGATGACTTTATGAACTGATAGGATGTTTTAGTTTGGACACCCAAAATTCTCTTCCAATCTACTGCCACGTCACTTCATACTGTATGGTGTTTAAGGAAACGTAATACATATCCTAACTACATCACTTAATGATGATTTAGAGCCTCATCAATCGATGCGGTACTATAATACTCTAGCAATGCTCCGGAAGTACCTATAACAATGTTCTTTTTTCAAAACTCACTTTTACAGCCGTAAAGCAGAACAAAGTGAAGTGCTGCGCGGTATGATGATTAATTATGAAAGACTAAACGACCCGTTGTCGTGTCTTGGTTTGGTCACACTCTATGTCTTTTTAAGACTTTCTATGCGACCCTGTATATTGTGACAAGATAAGTAGTGATTCACCGTTATAATGCATTATTGTTCAGTTGCCCCTGAATGCCCTGGTACGGCCGAGAGTGGAGAGAGTCCTCTCTCTCTCTCTCTCGAAATGCTCTCACATGGCCACGCGTATATAGCCTCTGTCAGGGAAGTTCTACTCACTGCCTTCTCACAGTGGCATTACTGTTTACGAAATTGAGAGGACGAAAAGCGAACGTCCGACGCTTTAACCGGGTTGGTGAACACGGAAAGTTCATCTAGGGGAGTTGGAAAACCCTGATTCCAAACCAATGGTTCACATGGACTCCAGTATCCTGAAGGAACTAATGACGTATGAATCAATTGTTGGTCACCGACTACCATGAGACTGCATCTCCTTAAGTTTCTCCACTGCTTTGTGGATTAAACCTTTAAGTCAAAAGCTCCGGGTGTGGCACTCTAAGAGAACCACCTGTTTCGGTTTGGGCACCTGAGCAGTATCACAGCCGTCACACAAATGAAATTAGATTTGTGTGGCGCATATATATCTGGTGCCCCTTTTTACCAATAGTTGCGTTTAAATAAATAATAATTGTTCAGTTGGTTATTTTATCATATTTATCTTATTCTGTATAATTGTAAATTAGTTGAATGAACCATTCCATTGATCAAACCATGTGTGTTGTATTTTAAAGAATACGATTACACTATCATGTTTTCTTAACTTCACTAACTCTTTATCACAGTATCTGAAATCTTCATTTACCGACTTACGTACGCCTGTTACTCCCATGGAGCATAGGCCGCCAACCAGCATTCTCCAATTCACTCTGCCTTCCTTTCTAGTTCTGTCCAGTTTTTGTTCATTCTTCTCATGTCTGTCTCCATTTGTCGGCGTAATGTGTTCTTTGGTCTTCCTCTTCTTCTTTGGCCTTCAGGATTCCATGTGAGGGCTTGTCTTGTGACATAATT